GGTTTAAATCACGTGCATAGGTGGGGGAACCTCACCAATGCGACTAGTCCAACCACCAGGAGGCACCCAGTGATGTAGTCACAAAAAACAAGAAAACACAAAAAGACTCATCATTCCATGGAGAGCAATAGTCTATGGTTTGTTAAGATAATACTATGTGTAAAGGTAAAAATGAAATACGTAATAGGCTAATAAGTAAAATACTGAATAAACAGTGTCTAGATGTTTAAGATGCTTGTCTTTGTTACAGGGTGGGTTTTTGTAACCTGTCCAAAGACAGCTGTGGTGCTCTCTCCACTCTCTTCAGCTCCTCCAGTCTGACACATCTGGATCTCAGTGACAATCACCTCCAGGACTCAGGAGTAGAACAGTTGTGTTCAGGACTAAAGAGCGCCACCTGCAGACTGAAGACACTCAGGTCAGACTTTTTCCATGACTGACTCCCATCTGTGTTATGTCTTAAAAAATGTTAAAGATGGGTATTATGCAAAATTGACTTTTTGGAGCATTCTATTATTTCTATAATTTGTATCAATTCTTATCAAAAACATGCCTGAACTGTGTGTGCTTTTGTGTGTGTGTGTGTGTGTGTGTGCGTGTCATCCGTGCATTTTGGGGTACTTTGCGATCTCCCCCAGGTCCTATTCAGTATAATCCTGTAATATGCTCAGCCCACATGTAACACTAGCAATAACTTGAGTACTAAATTGCTATAATTTATGTATAACATGATACAGGATCGGAAAAAGAAACAGAGCTAAAGAAAACAAGACATAATTATGGTGCCACCAAAAAGTGTTATCGACACATATATACAATATTTACCATTTCAAGTGCACTTGAGTCATAGTTAGAGAGAGCTGTGGTAAAAGAGTTCATGAAGGGTGGCGTTAGAATCCACGTCCAGTTCCGGGGGCGGGGCCTAAGGCAATTGCAATTTTTATAATTGCACAACTACAGTTCTCTCGGTCAATCCAAAATGTAAGTAAACCAAACCTGAAAGTATAAATAAGTAAAAGTGACATTCTGCTTTTCTTTGCAGAAAATCTATGTGTGCAGAGTTATTATGCAACAAAATGAAAAATGAACATTTTCCATTCTCACTTATTTATTTTCATCTTTCAGAATATTAAACAACTCAAAATGTACAAATAAACATATCTGATATTAATATAAAAAAAAGTCTGTGACCAATATAGCCACCCTTCTTCTCAATAATGGTTAAGCACCTTCCATTCATGGAGTCTGTCAGTTTCTTGATCTGCTTGTGCAGTAGCACCACAGCCTCCCAGACATTGTGTAAATCTCCTGTTTAAGAAGAACCCACAAGTTCACAGTAGTGTTTAGGTCAGGTGAGGAAGGGGGGCTTTTCATTATTTTTTCATCTTTGAGGCACGCAGTGGAGGATTTCGATGCATGAGATGGAGCATTGTCCTGTATAAAAGTCATGGTCCTCTTGAAAGATGCAGACTTTTTCTGTACCACTGCTTGAGGAAAGTGTTTTTTAAAAACTGGAAGTAGGTTTGGGAGTTAATTTTGAGTCCATCTTCAACCCAAAAAGGTCCAACAAGCTCATCTTTAACCAGATGGTTCTATGATTACGTCCCAATATCTTTGCAATATCAAGAGTGCTGACTTTTTACATTTTTTTTTACTTTTCAGAGTCAGTTAAATTTCCATTTTGGCCCATTTTGCCTGAGGAAAAAAAGCTGTTTAATAATTGCACTGCACATTAACTGCACACCTTCATATAGGGTGATGATCTCCTTAGGCCACACCTTCCCTCATTAGACAAATACACATCACCTAATATGCTTAAATCCCATACAAATTCAAGTTTACACACCTTAGAGTAGGAGAATAGGCATAAAAATCAAGATTTGGTCAAAATACCCACTTGCCTAATAACTGTGCACACCGTGTATATTGACTGTATATCTGGATATACTGTAACTCCATAAAATGAAAAAAAAAAAATTTGACTTTTCATGATACCTTTGTGAATGACTCATCCAAATGAATAATCAATGGGAAGGTTGTTGCATTTTGTTTTGTTTTACTGCCAGTTTGAGTAAAGTTTTTCTCATGCTGATTTCTCCCATAGAATTTCATGTAAAGTTGTATTCATCATTCAAATGTGCAAATCAGTACAAAGTGTGTCGCATAGTCATGTGACAACTGTATTACTTTCTTGGTCAGTTCTTTCATTTATTGAATCCAAATATCATTGCAGCACAATTGCAGCCCTGTGTTGTGAACTATAGGAAGTTCATTTCATCATGATGGCACTATAGAACACACTAACACAAGCTGTTTCCAAATGTAAGGTTACTTGTGTCTTGCCTTGCTTCCAAAGTCAGGTCCTTCCAATCCAGGGCCAGTATCATGCCACAGCTCAGACAGCTAATGCCTCCAGAGGCACTGAGCAGAATATCAGGATTTGTGTTATATATGTTACAAACACATCTGCCCATCACTAGCAGTGAGCATTACATCTGTGAAACTAAACCACCATTATAACAAAGAAAATATCAACAAAAAATACATTTACATTTGGGTTCACATTCCATTGTTCACCTTCATCATAAAGCCACAGATCATTCATTTGTAGACAGTGAGGTCCAGATTTAACCAGGGAGAAAGGTTCCTTTGAAAGGGGGGTGAGAAAAGCTATTGTGAAATTGTGGGTTGGGTACAATTTACCAACTGTCTACAAGAATATCCCTGCACCTTGATCAGGTGAGAGATCAGGGCAGTTAAATGCTTATCAGGTACTTAACAGTTCAAAATGAGGCAGGGGAGCTGGAGTATAAACCCTAGTGTCTGAGATCAGTACCAAACTGAAAATGGCTTGTAGATGGGACTCAGAACATCTTACTAAAAAAAAAAAAAAAGGTCTAGATGACTACTTCTAAAACCTTTTGTACCTCTTTAAGATATGGCTACTGCTGGAAGGTTTGAATCCATCATTTATGTCAAAATGAAAGCCACCTCTGCAATGGGTTAACTACCTATACCAGAAGATAATGAGTTTTGTTGATAGAGAATTGTCTTAAATAACAAATGCATGTGTCTTTAGCCTGTCTGGATGTCTGGTCACAGAAAGGGGCGGGGCTGCTCTGGCCTCAGCTCTCGGCTCCTCCCACTCTCGTCTGGCAGAGTTAGACCTGAGCTACAACCATCCAGGACCGTCAAAGCAGCTGCTGACTCAACTACGATTAGACACCCACTTTCCCCTGGAAACTCTAAGGTGAGGACCTCACAAACCACAAAAACAATACATAATTTAATAATTGTTCTGATAGTGTGCTTCACTTTCATTCAATGTGTGTAATATTGATATGGCAGTAAATACACAGTGAAAACCAGAGTGACTGTGAAACATAAAGGTTTAGATGCATGTCATTTTCCATGATGGCAAACTTGATCTTGCGTTTGACTCATTCTTCAACTGTGCTTCATTGTACTGTAGGCTGAATCCCTCTGGTGCCCAGTGGTTAACTCCTAGTCTGAGAAAGTGTGAGTTTCATTTTGACATTTAATTAGACACCACTGAAATGTATGGTGATGACATCACTTCCTTATTTATCCTTGTTTCCTTCTACAGACTTGTGTGACCTGAGTCTGGATGTGAACACCGCTCACAGAGCTCTGCACCTGTCTGAGGACCAGAGAACAGTGACACATGTGGAGGAGGAGCTGCACTATCCAGATCACCAAAAACGCTTCGACTCCAGGCCCCAGGTCCTTAGCTACACTGAGCTGACTCAACGGAGCTACTGGGAGGTACTGTGGGAGGGCTGTGAAGAGAACCAGCCTGGATGGGTGGATATTTCTGTCTGTTACAAAACTCTGAAACGAAAAGGAAAAGGTAAAGAGTGCCTGTTTGGACTAAACCATGAGTCCTGGACTCTAAGTGTGTTCAAGGGACGGTACTCTTTCCGCCACAATGGGAGAGAGTTTTGTGTAACCTCTTCATCCTCACATCGTGTGGCTGTGTACCTGGACCCAAAGGCTGGATTTCTGGCCTTCTATGAAGTCTCCCCTGATGGTTCTCCACACATTCTGCACTGTTTGAACGCCACCTTCACAGAGACTCTTGTGGCTGGGTTTGGGTCCTACCGCAGTTCACTCAGCCTCATCTGAAGCTCGCTCCGCAAATTCAACATCTACAACACAACTACAGACACATATCAAATCAAATCAAATCAAACTTTATTTATAAAGCACTTTTCACATATTGTATTGTATTTATGTTATTTTTTGGAGAGATTAAAGCACCATTGACCTCACTCCCGATGCAAGGGCTTGGAAACACTGGAATTAAAAAATTAAGATAAATGAAAATGACAATAAATAAAAGTATGATCAATCAAAAGCTAAGAAAATAAAAAACATTTCTCTGAACATTCAAAAGGGCCATTTGAAAAGAAAAATGGCAAGGAGCTAATATCTGAATAAGCCTTAATAAAAACCAGTAAAAGAACTTAATCGATCTGAAATTATTTTAAAGTAACATAATATATTGAATAAAACAGTAGTATGCATATAATAATGTGAATACAGATAACAAGAAGTATCTACATATTTATTTTAACCATTTCTCCTTTGGACATTGGAGAGATGGGGAACAAAACATTGAAACAAAAATTTGTAAATGGCACTATAAATCTTAATCCTACATTATTTTCTGTTAAAACATAATATATTTATAATTTAATAATGAAACCTACAGAGCTGTGCTGTGGTTCTGCAAAATTAAATAAATGAATAAATACTACAAAAATACATTATCAGTTGTATAAATTTTTATTGCATATAGAATGTTACCAGAGACATAACTGCAGATATAGAAGTGTGAAGTGTATGAAACATCCTTCTTGCATTATGGTTAGTAAATGTGATATGTTCAAGTAAAAAAAAAAAAGCACTTTGTCCTAAAAGGTGACATATTTATTATGATTAGAGCAAGTTTGACAAATCGTGATGAGTGAGAGTATCTCCCAAACTATAGCCAATGTGGTGTACTTTGCACTGGTCTGCATCTATCAGAGGAGCTTTAGACTGGTATAGTCCTTCAACTTGGTTTTGTCTTAATTCAGATCCAGTTTAGTCCTGATGTTTAGACTGGATTTAGTCCTTCTATAGACCTGGCTTAGTCCAGAGACAAGTGATGCATGTGGACAGTGTTATTCTGAGTGTGGCTCTTCTTATAGCTGAGCCTCTGTAGTTATAATGTTGTGGCCACACCAGCTTGTCAAAGTCTGATCCTGTCAGATCTCAGAAGCTCAGCAGGGCCGGGCCTGGTTAGTATTTGGATGTGAGACCACTGGGAAAATCAGGTGCCACAGGGGGGCGCCAGTCGTAAAAAACTGTTGTTGTGTCCTTAGGCAAGACACTTCACCCTCATTGCCTAATATGAAGGTGGTGGTCAGTGGTGGTCGGAGGGGCCGATGGTGCAGATTGGCAGCCTCGCTTCTGTCAGTCTGCCCCAGGGCAGCTGTGGCTACAGTAATAGTTTACCATCACTGGGTGTGGAGTGAATGAATAATGCTCTGTAAAGTGTCTAAAAGCGCTATATAAAACTGATGCATTATTATTAATGAGCATAATGTTGTATTCAATTTCTTCTATCAGTGACAGGAAGAGTGAGTTTAATGTAAAACATTACACAGTTTTAACAAGAGGGTATGTAGAATTTTTATTTAGACTTTCATGACCCATCTTTGTCCCCAGATACATACATTTTTAAACCAACTAATGCTCTTAATGATAACAATTGTAATGCTGATGTACTCCATAGACCAAGTTCTGACATTGTGTCCTTAGGCAACACTCCACCCCCACATTGCCTATGTCTAGTATAAATGTAGTGTGCACACGTGTGAGGGGCTGATGGTGCCAACAGCCTCACTTTTGTCCTCACAATAACAACTTTACCACCACCGAGTGTGGAGTGAATAATGCACTGTAAAACACTTTCAGTGTCTTTAGCTTTGAGTTAAAGCCGCCACACTGTGGCACCAGGGGGCGCTGTTTTTAAAGGGTTTTAGACCTCCTCTCCCTGGTTGATCACACCAAAGCAGCTGCCTCAGTTTTAGTCTCTAGTTCGGACTCTCTGATCCAGATGAAGCCGACTTGAGTCCCAAAGTTTATTCCATCTCGAACATGGGAGAAGTATTTCTCAGGGTTACAGGAAGTGCAGGGCGTCACCAGAGGTCTGTCACAAACTGTGTCATCATGGATGTGCTCAGGCAGGACCCCCCCATTCTGCAGCAGCACCCTGCAACACACATGTACACTTTAATACACGGGTACACTTTAATACACACCTGCACTTTAATATATGGTACAAGTTCCCATTTTGAGGATGGCGAGCATTCAAAAGATAAAATATTCAGTTCAGACTTCTCAATTTCTATGGTAACGCCTTTAACTGTTCATCACTCTGATCCATGGGTAAACTGACTTTGCATGATCACAGCATAAAGAAGCCATAGTTTAAACTGGGCTGGAGGACAGGTGAATAATAATTCTATTGTGAACTTTGCTGTTCTGTCAAAATGCAGACATGTTGTCCTTTTTGGTTATCGCTCCCTGCAGTGCTCTTCATGCTCCCACCACACGGCCCCTCTCCCCAATCAGCTCTCCCCTCACAGAACAGTGGGGGATAGACGGTGTCAAAAACAAAAATTAGCTGAACATGTTTTTAAAAGCACTGTTTTTGTCAAAAAAAAAAAAAAAAAGAATTTTCAAACCAACAAAAGCTAACATCTGGTGTTTTAAATATGTAATAACTCAAAACAATCATGATAAAAGTTTTGGACCGTAGGGTGCATTGCGTATAGTAGGACTGGGTCAGTACCTGTTTGCGAGGCGTATGTTGACGTGTGGGCGGGCAGACTCAGGATCAGGGACACAGTCTGTGTGGATCTTGGTAAAGTCTGAGGCCTGTTTCTGGTCCATAGTGTAACAGCAGACTCCCACAGAGGGACCCAGGGCCACACGGATGTCCTGAATGTTGCTCCCAAACTCACGCACCATAGAGTTCACTGTCTCCATGGCAGCTCCCATCAGCGTACCCCTCCAACCTGCACAAACACAGAAGTGACATCATCATTACATAAAGCTGAGGTACCCAACTTTTCTTTATTATATGTGATATATCTGATATGTATATTGTAAAAACAGATCTTTATAGAGGAGAGGGATGGTTCATGCCATAAAATCTCACAGTTCCTCTGTGCATGGGGTCTGAAAATTCATGCATGTGAATGCTGTGGCCATACCTGCTTGTCAATGCTTGATTTTGTCAGATCTCGAAAGCTAAAGTCCTGGTTTGTGTTTGGATGGGAGATGCGAGGTGCTGCTAGACTAGTGCATACTGTTGTTGTGTCCTTAAGCAAGACACCCACCTTGCCTGGTATAAATGTTGTGAGTGTTGGTGTAAGTCAGAGGGGTTAATGGCACAGATTGGCAGCCTTGCTTCCATCAGTCTGCCCCAGGGCTATTGTGGAAATAAATGTGAAGTAAATGAATACTACACTGTACAGCACTTTGGATGTCTTGAAAGCAATATAAACCAATGCATTATTCTAATTATTACCAGTTATATGTCAACTGGTTTATTAGGATCTACTGTAATTTCCAAACTATTGAGTGCACCTATATATAAGCTGCATCAACTAAATTTGAACTTAAATTTTAAACTTGTACATATATAGGCCGCTCCTGAATATAAGCCGCAGGTGTCCACGTCTTCAAGAACGTTTTCAAGTTCGGGCCGTCTGCTTTTATCGCCTCTGAAAGCTTTTGTCATTTTTTGCATAGAGTCAGTTCGTCACGCTGCCGTCGCCAAAATCTCACCATTGACTCATTAATGCCGAGTTCACGTGCAGCAGCTCTGTTTCCTTCAGCCAGATCAATTGTCTTTAACTTAAAAACTGCATCATCTGCATTTCTATGTGTGTTTTACATGAGTAGGGTGTTTGTGTATGGTTGGTGCATCACCCTCACCCCCCCACTCTACTCTGCATATCTCCTGCAGAAAGAGCCTCGGTCCTGTCTGGTACATAGACTGCAGTCTATGGTCTGGTATCATGGCAATTTCTCATAGGTTTTCAGCAGATTTCAGACTCTCTAGGGGGGCGGGGCTAGGTAATCCGGTATGAGTGGATGTCTGGCTACTGAAGTTTGAGGCGTTTCTTCTCGTCATTTATGCACTCACCTGCATTTAACACATACGGGTCATTAAGATGTATCCCAATCACTAATGTTCATTTAGCATCTGAACTTATTTTATCAAACAGCGATAAACTGTTTGAGTGCACTGACAATATCTCTAACACTGCAACTTCACATTGATCCATGTGTTAACAGCACAGGTTGCCAAACCATAGACGGTACATATAAATGAACGATGCACCAAACAAATAATCCATCCATATATTAGCTGCAGGATTCAAAGTGTGAGAAAAAAGTAGCAGCTTACAGTCCAGAAATTATGGTAGTTAAGACCTTTGAGTCTGAAAATCACATAGGAAAACAGCTGTTTTAGTCTCAGAATGGAAAAACTGGGAAATGCAGTTTATAATGCAGTAATGTATAGATAGCAATGAGTAATCAACACAACCAAAATACATTTTTAAGATTATCCTGTGTCCAGCCTCACAGTTTTAAAGCCCTGCAGCAGTATAATGAGCCATATTGATCTGTGATACCTGCGTGAGTGGCTCCTATGACCCTGTGCACCGGGTCACAGAACAGCAGGGGGATACAGTCTGCGCCCGGAGCAGCCAGGACCACTCCAGTCCGGTCTGTCACTATCCCGTCGTAAACATCCGGCTCGGGTTTTCCAAGCACCCACACGTCACTGCCATGGTTCACCTGCAAAGATCACATTCACAGAAATACGTGTTACACTTATAATCGTGTGGTCAATAAAGGTTTGTAGTTTTGATTCATTTAAAGATAGAACTAAAATACCCTATGTGTTATTACTCGCTAATACATGTTTAGATCACCACACTATCTTTTATTGTTTGGAAAATGCTACACTTGCCGAAAACAACATATTAACATGTTTTATATGTTTAGTTTTTGATTTTGATTTTGACTCTCCCTTACCCTTTACTCCCCCTACAGAGCACTATCACAATCAATGTGCATCCCGCTAATGAAACTACTGCACATCGCATCAGGTTTGTCGAGTTGTTGTGTACAGTTTTATATCCTGCTTTTTGTATATTTATGGAGAATTATCGTGTGGGAGCATGACTGACGTAGGTTGAATCCAGGGTATCCTCAGGTTTGACTACGCCAAATTTAAGATTTTTTAAGACCTTTTAAGACCACTTAAATAAAAATTAAGACCAACATCATACCCATTAAGTGGGCGAAAAACTCCAGATCCAATTCTAATAATGACCAAACAGCTACTACATCTAGAATCTAAGAGCCACTGTGGATTAAACCTACACTTCCCCATGATCCATCCAACGTCATTCTCCATTGTACTGATTATTTACTCATTGCTGCCGGCGCCAGAAACCAAAGTATTGTTTACGCATACTCCAAATTAGACGCTCATTCACGTTACATGATTTTACGTAGTTTTTTTCCTCCGTCCATTTAACATTGCACTGCAGGCCAGTTGAGTATACAAAGAACAGGCTAATGAAATTTAAGACCTTTGTGAAAAAAATAAGACTTGGACAACATAATAATAAGACTTTTTAAGGCCCACGCCTACCCTGGAATCTTAAGCAGGGTTAGAATAGGACCGAGGAGAGATCTCTAAATTACTCAAACATGCATGGATCTAAAACCTCTTGTGGCATGTTTTTTGATGAGGGAACAACATTACAACACAAGCTCAAAGAAGTCAGTTTAGCATAATAATTGAGCTTTGCCCAAATGTTCCACAGTACGGCAAAACACTTATCTATTTTCACTGAGACCAGCAGGAGGCGCCAACAGGCCTCATTACAAGTGCAAGATGAGGAGAGGCGATGCACTCACAGTAAGAAAGCATTATTATCAATGCTTTTGAGCAATTCAACAAATACCATATTTTTTGGACTATAAGTTGCACTTCTTTCATGGTTTGGGAGTTTCCTGTGATTTATACTGCGATGTGACTTATATATTAAATGTTCACGCTGACAGGCGGTGGGAGGGTGCTTTAGACTTGTGTGTCAGTATCTAGTACTACTATTATGCCTGTACCTCTGTCACTTTGCATTCTACTGCGCATGCCTCCTGTAGAGGCTGCAAATAATGAAAT